TTTTTGAAGTGCTTCGAAGATTGGAAAAACCGTTGGCACAAGTGTATAATATCTGATGGGGACAAAATAGATACTCATGAATAAATAAATAATTTTTGAAAAAACACAAAATTCGCGATCTTTTTGAACACACCTCGTATGTATGGAATTTCCATTGTTTACGCTTCGAAAATTTGTAATATGCGCACATTTTCGAAGCTGATAAATTTTTTCCCACACATGATTCAAATCAGTCCAGCAGAAAATTGGTGCTGTTTGCTGTACTCACAGATATACTCACAGATTTACTCGTAGATTTACTTATAGTTTACCCAAAGGTTCAAACGCGGAAGTCTTGGTCATAAGTAAAGTAAGGTAGAAGAAATTGTTTCACCATAGGGGAATGCGACATTATTTCATATCCTCACCTGAATTATATTTTACTCCAACTTAAGTGCTTTAATGCTCTATCAAGAATGATGGTAAATAGAGGGTACATGCGTTCCAGCCGGAGAGCTTTAATAGTAGCATCAATATGGATACAAACACTAGAAAATAGCATGTGCTAACCAAATTAGGCACTCTGGCAATTCCGTTTTCTATATCAACATTTGGCCTCAAAATTAACATTTTATTATAAAATAATTACTGAAGATATAATATACTTACGCCCAGTTTCACATTCCATATTTAAGTTATTAAGTACTGAAGCGTAGCGTTCAAGCAAGTATCCGTCCGCTTGCATTTGATGACAGGTTTATATTTTTCCACCAGTTACAGTAGGTGTTCCGCTCGCTAGCGGTGAAATTCGGGGTTCTTTGTTTGTTTTCATCCATTTTCGATATAACTTTCCTGGCAAATTTTTATATTGTCTGTTATAATTTAAATATTTCAAAAATATTTTTATGGATAACGCTTGTATAAATGTTGCCCATAACATTGCCATATATCATAATAGAATTTTATAGAAATTAATTAAGCATTGACTATGAAATGACTACTCAGTCTGCAACAATGCTTAGTTAAGATTTTATTTGATTTAATGAACGAAAAGCCTGTCAAATGCATAACGAATGAAGAGTAGACTTTTGAATGACTATAATGTACTTACATGCAGAAGAAAAGTGTCAATAAGCAATTTGTGTTTTGGTTTTATATTTCGTTTAGATTTTTCAAGGGGAATGTTTAGTATCGCGCCGGTTAAGTATCGTTTATGGAGAAAAACAGGGTCG